ATATCCCTAGCCCCCCCAACATTTTTAAAACTCACCATCCCCCCACTCAAAAAAACCCCCAAAAAATTCCCACACTTTTATGCCAAACCCTAAAATTGTATCATCCAAATCAATGTTTTCTCGTTTTCCCCTCCACTCCAATTCACCTTTTTCCTTTTTTTTCCGCCCCCCACAACTTCTTCGTGGGCTTTTTTTTTGGCCTTCTTTTTTTTCATTCAAAGCCTCGGAATCCCATATTTTTTTCCCCTTCCCCCCTTATGTCTCAATTATCCCAAATTCTTTTTTTCCCCCTTTAAGCCTCTGGGGGGTTTTGGGGGGGGGGAATTGAAGACGTTCATGAGGGGAAAGAGAGCTGGCGCTAACTTTGGCGCGTTGTAGGCTGCATGAGTCAAGTTTTTTCGCCCTTGTTTTCTGTTCTGTTGACGAGACTCCCTGTTGGTTTGCGCGCCCATTTTCAAAGCATCGAATGGCCATGGTTACTTTAGGTACCAAGTAGGGTACCTATATAGGGCGAGGCTCGGTATGATTGGGGGGGGGGGGAAAGGCGACGATCAAAGTCTTGCGAGAGGACCATGTACAAATTACCAGGTCACTTTGGCGGCATGGGTATGAATGGCAGAGGATCAGTGCGGCGGCGGCGGCTGCGTGAAATGAGAAAGCAAGGCGAAATCACAGTGGCCATGGCATGGGTGGGGTTGGCGGTTATAGCCAATCATGGTGCTATAGCTTGGCTGGAGTCTGGCAATCTTATTCTTCATTGCCAAAGAGCCGCAGTGTCTGACAGTGTGGTGTGTCACAGTGGAATCCGGTGTCAGGTACAATGGCAATGGGTAGTGTGAAATGATTACTGTACCGTGAGGTGTGCAGAGTGTGTACCTCCCTGTGTACATGGGTGAGGGTAGTAGCACCACAGAGGGCATTCATCAAGGGAAGATTTTTGAGCCGCGGTGCATGCTGCTTTTGCATGGCTCCAAGAAGACCGATTCAGGAGGACTATGTAGGCCGCTGCTACCATGACACAAGCGAGGCTAGAGTGGTGCGTGTGGGCACAAGTGGATATCACGTTTGCCGGTTGAGGGTCTTGCGTGAAATTCACATGGACAGCGCATCGGGCACGCAGAGTCGCATAGTCGCAGACTCTGTTCAGAAAAAACAATCTTCAACCGATGTGGCGACGACGCGACAGGTTACCCACACCGCACACCGCCGCCCAACGTCGAAGAGTTTTCTTTGTTTGCTGGTTTGCCTTGGCCGGCGAGGGCGTGGATGAGACAAGGGAATGACAAGCTTGGCTGAGTGGGTGTCCACTTGCCCCAGGTAGCGTACCGGTGTACTGTACCTAGAGCTGTGACTAGCTGTGACGAGTGCTACTGCGTCGCGAACCCGGAAGAGGCTCTTGCGTGACCACGTTGCTGTCGCGCGGTGGCGGGGGGCCAGCAGGTCCAGACATGGGCGCCGTGGTTGGCTGTCTCGAGTGCCACGCTGTGCGGCGTCGCAACGGGCTCGAGTAGCACCATGCCGAATGGTACGGGTACCTGAAAGGCTGTGGTGCTTGCGCGCCAGATGGAGTGCGCTGGCTCCAGTCAGGGTGGTGGATAGGGTGTAGCGGTAGGTAGATTGGAGGGTAGTAGAGGGCCAAGTGATACAGTGTACAGTCGGTGCGGTGAGAAGGTATGTTCAACGTTTAGTGCCCCAACCAAGTGTGAGGTTACCACTTACCGTACGGGTAGCTGGCGACGGCACTGGTGTGGCCATTTTGGCAGCACATGTTTCAGCGGTCAGTGGCGGCAAGCGACGACGAGCGGGATAGACGAACATGGTACGGTACCATGGCGGTACTGTGTAACAGGAACGGTGTGAGATGGTCGCTGGTGAGGGGGAGGGAGGGGGGCAAGTGGTGCCTTCATTCCAGGGTGTTGCTGCAGGGACGTAGGGTACTGGTAGGTACATGATACACTTTCAATTAGCATAGCTAGCCTAGGTACCTATGCTGACTATCACCAATATTGATTCTACGTATGTACATGGTGTGGACGGAGGTACATGGCCAGCCAAGCCAGTTATTAGCGCACGTCGATTACATGGTACATGGTACATGGTATATGGACAGCAAAATTGACGTGGGTTGGTAACTGGTCTGGGGAAGAGTGTTCGCACGGGCAGAGGTTCGGTGGCCCGGGTGGTGGAGAAGAAAGACTGCACAGACTTTTCTTCTCTTTGTATGTCGCTTCTAGAGTACGGTAGTAGTATTGTGCCTACCATTGTAAGTTTTCTTTTCCATGTTCCCTGTCGTTTGGCTGTGGGCACTGTGCAGAGATTTGCCAAAGCAGGCAGCTAGCTAAGCACTTTTTTTCCTTTCCCGCCTCCACTTGCTCCTGCTGTTCCACGCTTCCAGTGTTGTGTGCCTGGATCGGCCACTTCCTTGTCAGGTACCCGGCCTACGCTAGCCACAGACTAGCCAACCACCACGGCCCAGGTGCCATTGGCTCCTCTCTCTGTTCTCCGAGATTGCGCCTGCCCAAGAGTGGTGCTGGGAAATTGGCTCGACTGTTTAAGTACACAAGCCCTCCCCGGCCTGTCTACCGCAGCTTCCTTTCTGGCCACCCTGCTACCCACAGACACTCTCTCTCTCTCGTCCGCGCCCTCCACCTACCCCAGCTTCTTCTTATACCTTCCGAGCCCTGCTCGCCCACAAAGCTACTCCTAGCACCCTCCATTCACTCCTTCACTGCTGTTGCCTACCAACTTCACACGCGCTTGCGCCCCATATACATACACATACACACACACATACCCATATACAACACGTCAAGGCACTGTCTGGGATCCTTGCCCTTACAACATCAACCACCACCAACATAACAACAACAATCAACTGATCAAGATGCGTTCCTTCCAAAACATGTTGGCCGTCCTCTTCGCCTTCCTTGTCTGCGCCTTGGCATCCTCCACCCCAACCTCGGAAGAGCAGTACGAGGCCACTGTCTACGTCACCTCGACTGTCTACCGTGTCAACACCGTCACTCTCTCCGGTACTCCTCCTGCCAGCATTGCCAATCAGACCTCTACCATTGTGGCTCCAGAGCCCACTGCCGTCTATCCCACGTACAGTGCTGGTAACAACTCTGCGGTCGCACCTACTGGCTCCAACGTTGTGCCCAGCCCACCCCAGTTCACTGGCGCTGCTTCCTCCCTGAGCGCCAATGCCATGCTTGCAGCTTTCGCTGCTGGCCTCGGCTATCTCGTCCTGTGAGCCTCAGACTCGCTTCTGCGCTGCCACGAATAGCACGCTGTACTCGCGTGTCTTTTACGAAGTCAAACGAGGACGTTGATTCATGTTTGCCCTATTTCTCTTCTACCTTGCTAGTTAGCCCTCTTTGCTTTACATACACCTCACTTTTTCCCTTCTTCTTCTTCTTCTTCTTCTTCTTCTTGCCCCCCGTTTACTATCGCACTTGTAATCCCATTTCCTTGCATATTGTCTGAGACGATGGACGAGGTCTGGTTCGTGTCGACTTGGTTTTCGGATGGTTCCCTACTTCTTCTACCCTTCTATACTGTACACTACGGTACTGCTTTATGCGCGCGCGAATACGGACGCCGCTTGCGCTTCTGGAGCGCATTTGGAAACTGTACTTGCTCGAGGCAACCCTCCTACTTCTGGTTCCCCTCGCAGATGCGATTGTTGCTGCGACAACGACACCTTTTTTTTTTCTCTGGTGGAGCTGGAGTTTGGAGATACCCCTTTAGTTGTGGCTTGAACCACCTATTACCCTGTTTACGTTTCTGGAAATTAAGCTTGGAGAAGCAAGGTTTGGATGTAGTTTACTACTTGGATAGGAAATGGCTCGTATGGACCAGTGCGATCTGATTGCATCTGTCGTCCATCAATGGTTATGGCCATGGAGACAATGCATATACCCTTTCCAGATGTCTCGTGTCTTTGATGATATTGGCCACGTACCAATCTTCTGTCCGTCCGTGATGATGTTGGCTGTGAGACTTACCTTGCGCTAGGCTATCCGGGACTTATCTTGGTGATTGAGATCGACGTGGAATGTATTGAACGTCAGCCATCATGGCTCTTGACGGAGCTGCCACTGCAAGGGAATGGATGACCTCGGTCACCTGCTTGTCCGGGTAAAATCATTCAAAATCAATCTTGACAGTGCAAAATGTCCAAGTCAATGCTGGCGTCCCTGGCAGTGTCAGTGGGTCAACCGTCAATGCAAGGCCGCCTAGTCGCACGTGTTCTGTGCACAGCGCAACGCAAGTTTATGGTGCTAGTCATTTCGGCTGGTTTGAGAGTCACGTTACTTGTCATATGCCATCAAGATAGCTGCACATGTGAGGTCTGGCAGTGGCGTATCATGTGACTTTGAGACTACCCGAGCGCCAAAGTACCCAATCTATCCATCCGTCTAGAAACCCGAACCTCCGCAAGAAAAAAAAAATGTGATTTCGTTCTATGATGTGAATCGATCGTCCTTGATGTACAGTACTGTCCCGACGCATCCCTTCCTTCTCCACACTTGTTCACGCGCCAATCGTACGCCGACGGTTGAACCAGATTTTCGTATCGGCATCGGCGTTGGTACCTACTTTACCCACAGTAGTAGCGGGAACAGCTACAGGGACATGTCGGAAAAATAAAAACGTGGGATTCGGTGGGTCGAACCTGTGCTTTGACATGAACTGATCGGACCGGGGCAAGGCAAGGCAAAAAAGAACGTTTGGATTTCTTTGTCTGGACCCTGGACTCACTACTCTGCTACGTGCATGGTCTCATTCAACGTCTACTACGGGCGGGCAACAACGTGGTGTGCCGAGTAAAGCGGCGAGAGCACCTGATATCCTCGACATCCTCGACATCCTCAAAAGGCATGTTGCGTGACCAAGCACCGGAAAGAATTTCACGTGTTCCAAGTGAGAGCCTACACATGAACCGAGGTCTCGACCGTGTCCGAAGTTCAGTATACACTACCACAAGACCACAGAAAACTACTGCTCGGCCTTCTTCACACGACTTTCTCGTCCTTGCAATTTCTACGATCCTTCCATAGACCATGAGTAGGGAGAGACGCGGTCAAGGAAGTCGCAACACAGGGAGGGAAGTTGAGATGAGACGGGGCGTCGGGGCAGACCCGAATTACCCGGACAGATGGCATCCGAGGCCCACTAACAACTCGAAGCAGTCTAGCGTCGTCCGAATTTGCCCCAGGACCCACCTGTGACCTGACGACTCCTTTTAGGCTTTATTCCCCCTTGGCCACCTGCTTGATTGGTCCAGAATGCACCCAGAAACGAATGTGGACGGCACATGAATTGGAGAGGGGGGAACGATGTTGCTCTGCTATGGACACATAGGCCGTGGCCAAACGCTATCCTATTGGCGTCTGCCGTGTTGACTTCAAGGTTTATACTCTTAAAGGATTCCAGATAGTAGAGTAGTACTCTAGCAGGTAGGCGCCGGAAGAGCTTTAGGATCTGCCAAGCGCAATCTCGTCTGACGAGGCCATGGCCACGCGCCATCTCATGCACGCCTAACTTTGGCCGATGGCTTTCTCGTGTCGGTTGGGGGGGGGGGGGGAAGGCAGGGTGGCTGGGTGGTGTGGTAACCGAAGACCAGCATCTCAACCATGCAATACAGGTTGATTTCACAGCCATAGTAGGCCAACAAGAAACCTTTGATGACTGCTAATGGAGCGATAGTAGGAGTGCTTTCGCAACACCCGAATCAGTCTGTATAGGCGGAATCGCAGCCTCAAGACAAAAGTGGTGGGGTGGCAAGGTGGATCGCTGGCCCGAATATTCCATTCTTTCGCCGACGCTAGAGCGATAGAGCGGTAGAGCGGCTGTCGGGTGGTAGGTGGCGATCATCCTTTCCAATGTGCCTGTTCCTGTGTTCCTGTGTGGCACGCTGCTACTCTAGAGTGCCTGCCCCTATCGTCTCGTCAAACCCCGCCGCGCCCATCTACCCTCGACCTCGTCTGGATTTTGGTCAGCCTCAGGAAATCTGCGCCTTGCGACCTGCGCTCTCTCTCCTGCGATTTGCAACTAGCGGCTGGCGACTGGCGACTGGCGACTTGCGACGACCATGATGCTGCCATCATCCATTGGAGGGCGCAACCCCTTGTTCACGCTCTTGGTGAGCGTGGGAGCTGTGTTGATCTTCTTCTTCGCTTTCCTGGCTTGGCAGAGTCCTTCGCGCATGCCATTCGCACATGGACATGTTGATTTGTACGTCGCACTTTCCACGTCTCTTCCTTGCCCCCATTCTCTCTACAGCGAGTACCTCTGACGGACAACGTCCACAGAGGCCATGCAAATTCAAAGGCAGACGTCCCCATCAGCGAAGTCCTACGGTTGTTGTACGACAACCTGAAGCTGTCGCCCACCGCTCCCTACATTCGCGATCCCGATGGCAACCACATCCAACTGCCACCCAATCCCCAGTATACCAAGAAACTAGGCAGCGAGGTCCTGATCCTAGATCTGGAGACGCGACCGCTCCAGTCGACCGACGACTACAAAAAGGGGGCATTCGAGTGGCGCAATCTTGGACACGTTTCGGGTGGTGTCTTTAACCACTACACGTACGCCCTGATCCATGGCTACGACTACAAGTTTGTCCATGCCCATGAATTTGAAGACCGCCATGCTACCTGGATCAAGCCGTCTGCACTCGCAAACCACATCAACAACTACAAGTTCATCGTCTTCCTCGACGCCGACGCCGCCTTTCGCTTCCTGCATGTGCCCATCGAGTGGATGCTGAACTACTGGGACATCAAGTCGCAACATTCTTTCGTCATGGCGAAGGATCCATGGAGTGCTGAGGAGCCGCAGTTCAACTCGGACCGATTTAACCGGACCCTAACCAACACGGGCTTCATGATGGTTCAGAAGAACGAAAACACGATGCCGATTCTAAAAGCATGGCACGAATGTCCCGACGACGTTCGCTACGCCAATTGCTCACAGTGGAAGCAGCCGAAATTTCACGAGCAGTCTGCTTTCGGAGAGTACATCCGCTACGACTACGAACAGTATATCAAGGAACTCGAGTGTGGTGAGGCCAACGGCTTTCCTGGCGTCACTGTCAGCAATTGCCAGGGCAAATTTGTTCGCCACTACTGGTTTGAGAAACAAAAGGTCAAGGAAGATTTTCAGGACAACATAATGAACGCCATCACCCTTCCCATTCAGAAGTTTTTCGCCGACAATATTGGCGGCATCATCACCGAACAGGAGCAAAACGTGATCCGTGACTAGACGGATGCACCGCCTTTTATTGATGTTTTTAATGAGAGAAAAGAGACGGTTATTGGATGAGCATAGCGTTGCATAGTCATGGCGTTTGGGGGCGTTCGACCACACATTTGACCTTACTGATTTCAAGAGGTCAATCGTACTGCTTCCAGATACTGCTTCCAGCATTGTGTAAAATCTGCGTTCTTTGGCGCATCGACGCATTCGTGTGATTACTCCTTTTTTGGCGCCGACGAAATGCGCCTAATGCTTTAATTCCATCACTCTTCACGCATTATTATCGATTCGATATCACGGCCGACGAAACGCGACACTCTCACCGTAAAGGGCCTGCACAAACTCTATGTCTCCCGCACATCTCCCGCACAGGATCCTTTGCTAGGGACTCGCCACTACTGCGAAGCTTCTTAGACGCCAATTTACATGGACATCCTGATACACTAGAATTACGACACTGGTCATGTATCGCTACTCTGTCGGCCGAGACCTGGAGGAAATTGTCTCAGAGGTGACGGAACTATCGCAGGCCGTGAGCAGCGTTGGTAGCTCGCAGTGTGCTCTCGCCATGAAAAAATTTGCGCGTTTCAGACTTGGGCTCGACGAGCTCTTCGCAGTCGCAAAGCTGTAGCGCATGCTGCGACCATCAACACTACTGGCGCTGGGCAGCGTACTTCTACTGTCTGAAAATAGCAAGCGTCTGAGGAGATTTCACGCACGATCCCTTCATGTCTTCCCAAGGTACATTGATGTCTTCAGCCAATGGCCCGAAGGTCGAACCTGTCCAAGGCATCCGCATTGTACAGTTCATGCTCGAAACTTGTCAACTTTTTTTTTCAGGATCCCTCAGCAAATACCATTGCGATACCCTTATCCGCTCTAGACCCTTGAAAGCTTATCACTCCTCTGCAGAATAACAATTTGTCTCTTCTACAATAAGCGATTAATAGCGATAATACCCGAACTTCTTCCGCTACCATTGGATTACTGCAGAAAATCTAACAAAATGTTGGCCAATCACTTTGGTTGCTCGAGTGGAAGACGATGACCACAATCCCAAACGCCTCCGCTATTTCCACATATAGTCAGCTACCATCAATCGATATTTGCTCTTCTACCAGTGGGCCAACAAATCTATATACCGTCAGTCAATGCTACATGCCACGGACGTACCGACTCCGGTGCACCAACTGTCATATCCCTCGCCTCCAGCTTCCCCTTCTTCAAAATCTCCTGCTCATCCTTAACATTCACTCAATGACTTCTATACGTTTCCATAATCTCCCTCAGTCCCCTGGGCGCCTTTGAACACCTTATCCATTCATGAATCGCAACCTAATCAAGTGCACTGGGATTATCACACTCCGCTTTCATGAAATACGTCTAGTACTCCTTTTTCTTTCCTTGGATGTTCATCTTTGGTACGTGATGATGATGTCCTGCGTAAAGTATGACTACTTTTCTTAAATTAAAGTAGAAGATAACGCCATCTTGCAAAGTACGAGGTACGTCACGTGATCCACATGTTACCTATGAGGCAAAACGCGAATGCTGCACCGCGATATTTACCATTGACAGCAAGAATCTCTTGAGCTAGTTGGGTCGTGAGTTTGGCCAAGTCTTTTGCGTTTGTCCGGCCCTTATAGCCTCCAGAAGCGGGGGGTTGTCAATGATACCGAGGCCGCGCAGGTCTGGGCCGATGAGAGTGAAGTGTGAACTGAGGAAAAGGATACGACGGTACCAGGAATAGTGATTCTTGGGAGTTCCGCGTAGGAGGAGTAGTGGAGCTCCTGAGCCGGCGGTGATACGGTGCAGTATGCCGTTGACGCGGGCCATGTGGTAGTCGACGGGCTGGTGGTTGTGGTCATATGTTTCTGGCATTGTAGCGATGAACCGCTGCATGAAGGATCTTTTTTTATGATAGACGAATAAAATAAACACAATGTCTTATACGACTGCGCTATGTTCTTGTGAGGAGTGGATGTTGTATCAGTGGCAACGCGTCTGGATATAGGCGCCAAACATCCGACCTCATGGTGAATGTGGCGGAAGTAGCGGTAAAACCGCACATTATTGATAAGGTAGGGCCAATCGAAAATCACTCTTGTGCACATGAATATGAGAACACGCTCGATTCGATCAATCTGCTGTGGATACACTCCACGAAGGCTTCTGCGCCGAAAAATGCAGCGCCGCAGAGTGACAAACAATGTAGTTCTCATACCTGACTAGGATGTTGCAATTTCACTAGTTGCCGGTACCAGTAACTCATGGCGTATTGTCATGGTATTGGATTCAAACCATGCATACTCAGTCATGATACTTCGATCCTCGACCATATCTCCACCGCACATCTTCGAGCGTTATACCAGTCTCTTCATACCAGGCCAAGATTACATGTGGATCCACCTGCCCATCCAAGTCTCAACAATTTGCTTCGCTTCGTCCACCAGACCCATATCTAACAGCAGCTGGGAGGTCCCACGCACTGCAGAGTCCAGCGCTGAGAAGATCCAGGCGTGAGTGTAACTGGTGTGTTCGCCGATAAAGATCGTCTTCATTTCTGTCTTATAATACGCGGGAAGGTAAAGGTCTTGTTGGCCGACAAGGGGTGCAGCCCAAGCACCAGCTGAATGTTCGTCTGTCTCCCAGCACTGGCGGTCGAACGCGCCAGTGAATTGCTCATTCGCAACCTCTCCATGAACCTCTACCATAGCACGTTGGACGAGGGCAATGTGATCGGCTGTGCTTAGAGCACCAAGTGAGCGAGCTATACTGCCGGAAAGATAGGAACCAAGAATGACGCCCGGTCCCGTTGAGTTGATCTTGTATGATGGGTAACAAACCGATCCAACGCCTGGTATATCAACAGAACCGCAGCCACCGAGGATTGGGGGTGATAACTTCTCCCAGAAACGTGTCTTGTAATGCAGTGCGACCTTACACGACTGCTGATAATTCATATTGCTGATAGCCCGGGATAAAAGCGAGGAGTACCTAGGGAGATTCCAAAGTCTCACCTTCGAAAATGGAGCCGAGACGACAGCATAGTCATATTGCTCACTTTGGGTCTCCAAGTCGAAAGGATCCCGACGCCATTCGACCGTGACCTTTTCGCCATCACTATCATAATCCAAACCAGTAATCTTGCGGCCCAGCGTCAGCCGACTCTGCACATGTGGGAGGAAAGCTTGAGGGAGCGTCTCGAGTCCTTTATCGATTGTTCGCCAGGTTGTCGCACCACTGTATACCGTGTTATATTGCCACATTGGGCTGTTCCCAGTGCCTTTCATAAAATCCACCACGTCAGTGCTCTGATTCAACGCATACCTGAGATATGCAGCCTCAGACCAATTGAACAAGCCTTTTTTGACAGCCTCCCTGTGTGCTTGATATATATTTAATGAAACATTTTGGAGGACACCAGGGTCAATGCCGATGAATTCTTCGAGAGCTGCTTCGGCTTGTATTTGGGCCACCACATCCGGACCTTCTGCAGCTGGCAATGTATTCGCGGTTCGGTTAGCTCTAATCATTGCTGCGCTAGGAATGCGTCCGTTTTCCAGTCGGAAACCATTTGAGTTGGCTGGTACATTGTCGCTAGCTTGAATCCATGGAATGAAGTTGATGGAAAGGCTGCTGTCGTTGCCATTCATCCGGTTCAATTCATCTGCAAGTTGAAAGACCATCTTATGGTCCTGGATGTCTAGAGTTTCGTTTGTGCCTGCATAGTTGGTCGATACTGGGAAGCGCATGGGGCCCATCTCTTGATACTGATACTGATCTGGGGTGCTACCGGCAAGATACTTGGTTCGAATACGTCCTCCGATACGGTGTGAGGATTCGATCATATGCCAATTATGGACACCCACGGAGTCCAGAAGGAGGCTGGTCATCAATCCTGACATTCCTCCTCCAACGATGGCGATCTTTTTGCTCTTCTCAACTGTTACAAATGAACCGTTGTTGTGTTTGGACTGCATATAGGCTACACCATCAAACCAAGGGCCCATCATGTCGGCTACCTTCGAGATTTCCTCTCTCTTCTTGGGTTGGTGCTTTACAAATATCGGAGTCGAGTGCCCAATGAGTGTCGATCCTGAGTAAGCCTGTCTTCGAATGAAGAATGCATGATCAGTGCCAGCTTCAAAGTATGAATCAAGGCACTCACAAGCAGCCTCCGTGTACGATGGCCTTGGGAACGATCCAAACGAGTCGGTTGGGGCGTCTGGTCCTATTGATCCAATGTGAAGCAATGTCATGATGCCCTTGGTTTTGATCCAGTATATCACAGTCTCCGTAGACCACCTTAACTTCACCCTCGAAGTCTTCTTCGCTGTAATCAATGTGGATGTTGTGTATCGAGTCTGATGTGATCAAGAGAGATCTGAATAGAATAAGTTCAGATTGAGGCGCCAATGGAGAAGCGAGCGTAGTCCTCGTCAATGAGAGCGTGGCCAGAGCTGAGATGATTATCTTCATGTCTGCCTGGGATACAACATGTATAAACAAAACGGATGTGATCTCGTAAAAGAGGGAGAAACTTAGAGTTAAGTATACCTTCCGCGGCCATACAAGTTGAAGCATTATATACAGGCATGTCCGGTCCAAGATTATCGTTCAAGTTGTTATCATCACGACTGCACTCAACACACTTAATTGGGGCGGTGATTAATCCGTTATCGTTTTCGACTTCCGCCTGATTATCTACGAGGTTGTAGTTCAGTACATCACAAGGATATAGATATCCACGAAGGATTGCATGCTGGCAAGTGCTCTCCTCATGCATACAAATGTTCGGCTCGACTATTAGTGCATTACGGGGTTATCGCTTTGTTCCATTACCATTGACGTTTTTCTATTCAGTACTACATAAGGAGACACAAGACTTTTGAGGGCCAACTTATATTGATGTGAATCATAGTAGGGGTAGACTTGCTTTCTGAACGCTTCACATCATTGTTCATTTCAATTCAATCCAAGTACCAGTTTATAGGAGAAGCTCCAGTTGTGAGTGTTTCTCAAAGAATGAGAGAATTTTCAAACCATGCATATGTAATCATTGTCAAAATTTACGATTAGCGAGAGAATGCCATAGCTGAGTACTTCAGTCTAAGACATTGCATTGGCCCTTCAGATGACTGGCCTCCCCTGATGCGGGATAGGCTACAGATTACCATAGTTTTAATTAGGAGCATTCATTATGCGATATTTTACAACTTTACTCGATACCAAGTAAGACGTCATAGAGGTGGTCGTGATATCGTGCATGATTCTCTAACCAATCAAGAATCGGGTGGACCAAGAACCATGGAAACTGGGAGTGGAGCCAACGTTGATAACGTTCAGCCAATGTGGCCGGTCCCACTTCTTATCTTGACTCCAGATGATCATGCTCGTAGGTTACATCAGGATGCTGTCCGACATCCTATAGGAGCCCTTGCAAGGATGTAGTATCAGTTTTGAAGAATTCTCAGCGCCCAGGTGGGTTCTATATCTCTCCAACCTTTTTCTGAGCTGCAATTCGCTCCACATAGCATTGAGACATCACCTTCCCCATCCAGTGCGTTATGGGGCCTTCGAAGGCATCATATCCCACGCAATAGACTGTTTTTTTTGGTAAGATATGAACATTCTTACTTGAGTTCAGAAAAGGTGGGCAGGCTGTACTGAGGCTTCCAATTCCGTGGCGCCGGCGGCGAGGTGATGACTACGATCAACAATTTGATTGCTATCGCGGCTATCACGGGTTGTGTGGCCCATGGCTTCACTTGTGAAAGACTTGCCATTAAGCAGTGCCGTCGGTGCTGCGATATTGATCCTACCCGTTGTATCCTGCTGCGCTTTGTAGCTAAGGCGGTGTGTGCGAAGATGGTATTGGCCTTTGACATAGGATTCTAAAGCATCATCAATGATCTATATAAGGCTTTGAAGGACCCCCTTAAGTTTCCTAAGCCCAAACCATTTTTATCTTGAGAACCTCAGTACTTGCTAGTACTAAATCCCCACATCATATTGCGTCGGGGTTCATCACTCCCTAATCTTCCCGCCGTGTTCGGCATTGCCATTGCCAGGTTGGAGCCCAAGCTTGCTGGACAACCATAGTGACATATTTGGGCACCCGGGGTCCGATGTTGTGTACGTTATGTCAACAGACATCCCATCGCGAATTAATTCGTATAAAAAAGTGGTGCGTGGACGTCGAGAGGCATTGTATACACATCCGGAACAGTGCCATCTCTTTGGATTATAGATAAGCCTCATTAAAACTGCGCACACCGGAACTCTTCTCTCAGCCGTGGAATGTATAGTTACTGGCGGCAGTCGACCACAAACAGTAAACGAAGTGTTTCGAAGTGCATACTTTGGATGAAGACCTGACTGTTCCATTGCGCAGGCCATTAAAAACATTGTCACCATCCTTGAGGAGGCTGGGACATCATTGGATAATGGGATGGAAATAATAATGTTTATTGCGAACAAGTCAGATTACACCGCGATGAATGAATGGTACGGCCGTTCAATGACAGCATCTCTCGAATCTTGCTGATCGAGGTTCAGTGAGCCCTCTTCCCTGAGCCACTAGTTGTCCCAGGAAGATATCATCGAGTCGATGAATCCTACATGAACTGAAATATGGAATGCCCGAAATTTGGCGATACGAGATTATGCTGCTCTGAAGGATCCTACTGACTAGGCCTTGTTGCCATAGTTTACGTGAATAGCTACCGACTCCTAAGCCGGCTCGTACCGCCGTGGAAGTTGGAAAATTACCAAGCAGCTTTCTTATAGAGATAGAAGCCATCGCTGCTATCCCAGTTTCATGAACCTGGCGGTTCGAATGGGGGCCGCAAACCAAGATTGGATGTGGGGAGTGCTGCACACGAAGAGAGAGCTGAATGACGGAATGTCCACAATGATACCTTTGAGTGATATCTAGGCTAACGATAGCACAATGTTACATCATGCAATGTGATGCTCTGTTATGGATACCATGATACATCTCCATGTGCCATCATTGGCAAGCAAAATAGCGCCAAGTCACAGCTGAACTTTGCAGTTACGTTGTATACGGTATACCGGTACTCCAGTGGCAGGAGCCAAAGATATCGCTTGCCAGCTGCAGCTCTGGAAAGTGTTCCTGATCTTTCCTGTGGCCATTGGAATATCTGGTAGGCTTGCGACGAACGTGTTGGGACGCATATTGCGGGGACATTGTTCGATGTGGGTGAAATAGGGAGAAGCGGCTCGCAGTCGCAGACCTTGGCACCACGTCCCCGTTCCTAGACGGACAATAGTTTTCCCGTGGCCAACTTCAGTAAACGACGATTACTTCCCAGAGGCGAAGGTAGGATCATTCATACGTCAGTAGCAAGTCTCCTACTTACTATTGCTTGATCATCTGTAAATCTTCCTTGTACTGCCTTGACCCAGGCTCACGAACTGTGATCACTCTTTCATGGGCGAGTCGATGCTGAATATGGTCATGCTCCCTCTAGGTAACGACAGCCATCGACCACAGCTTAAGACGGATGATAAAGCCCACTGTTTCAACGAGAAAACATTTCTTTACCATCAAATTCTGCATACAAACACTCATGAAGTCTGTCATTCGGCGTTCTGTGACAGCATCAACTTGCCTATACTGTCATCATGGTGTCTTACTTGCCACCTGCTGCTGTATGCATTGAGCAGCTGTCCTTCCTTGCACGCGTTTTCACTTTGTTCTTTTCCAATCCTGACGTACAGATTGGACCTCTTCATCAAAGCCTGTAGTTCTATTCAGGGCTCTCATATTGTCGACAAAGCTTTCCTTGTTGCACATCTTCTTCGAATCTTTGGCAGGATCGATGAATGTTCAGATGCCTGCGACCACTTTCCTCGTGAAACTTGACGCATTCTGATGGAAAGGAGATATGTGTATCTAATCCTCAATGTGGCGTCCTCCAGAAGTCAAACGCCATCAGCATCTATAGGATGCCTTGACAAGCCATAGCAGTTCCTCAAATCCTGAATCCCCTCTCGGGCTGCCATACTTCTGTGGCATAAATTATCCATTCTTTTGGACGAAGTCAGGCTAAATTCCACTGATATATCCCGGCTTAGAGACACAATCTGACGAACTACAACAAGAACTGACTAATGCGGGAGCTCCAACTCAACAGAGGTCCTCGCGGGTCAGGTCCATAGCATAACCACGGTGAATGGCCAAGGATACAAGCATTATTGCCATACATGAATCACCTGGAGGCTCTAGTAACTTTGCATACGGAGTCAGACCCTGAATTGCACACTCAGGTGTAGGCACTTGCAGCGCACTGTCATCGCCCCAAAGCTTGGCATTCCCTAACAACGATACGGGGGAACTGGGAAGAGCAAACGCGCCTTTGACGTATCACTGTCCATTATCACCGGTTCACCGAAGATCATATTGCAGGTGACTGTGCGAAATCGGCTTGGCGGCTTGTATCACGTCGCCGCTGCCGCACTTAACTCGCGCTCACCTTGACTTCCGCAACCTCCAGCCTTATAAAAAAACGCCTTCAACCTCGATCACTCGTTTTCGGTCTCTAGCACTTCGCTCAAGATCCTGGCCGCTTCATTTGAGCTGTAGCCGTTCCTTGGTTCCCATCCTCTCCTTTGTATCTTGTTTCTGGCCTGCCATTATCACTGTCCTGTATTCTAAGCAAATTAGCGTCAAGATTGCATTTCTGTTCGAAGAGTGTAACAGGTTAGGCTCTCATCTACATCATTTCCAGCATGTCCACTACCGATGCCGATGCCATCCTGGCGCTCGCCGCTTCCACAGCACTGCCTGGCGAAACACCACATCGGGAGACTGATGACACCACCCCAAGCCCACGGCCATTCACTCGCTCACAAGCACTTTCCGCTGGTTTGTACCCAGGTGCTACATTGGTGCTTATGGGAAAACTGATCCAAAGGTAGCATCCGCGAAGCCGGAAACCAGTGACCGACTGAGGCAAACCAAACGCAAAGCCCGCCGCCAGCGCGCCTCGGACTTTGCTGTCTTTATTGACCCTCCGACATCGACTGATGGATCGAGAGCTACAGGACCGGCCCCCAAGAGGAGTAAGACTGCCCCGCGTATTGCTCTCTCGGTCAGGACGACTGCATCGGCGAACAGCACCCCCATGCCATCGCCTCGAACCCCCGAGACACCATTCCCCTTCTCTTGCGAAGATCCCCTGTGGGAGAATATTGAGAACTATGGGCCTTCTTCTTCCATGCCCACGGCACTGTCATCGTCTGGTGTACCGTCCGAAAACGGGCCCTTTGTCACAACGCCATCCGCTGGCCCTCCTCCACATCGCTCGACACGTAGGCTGGGAGCCCGCCTGGCAAGTTCCTCGACTCGACGCTCCCCTGCGCTGCCTCGCAGCATGGAGCTATATTCAATCTTGGGGCTCAGTGACTTTGACGTTGGCAGCGAAGAGATCACGGCGGCGTATCGCAGGGCAGCCTTTGAACATCACCCTGACCGTGCCAATGAGAATAATCGTGAAGAAGCTACAGTGGCGATGCAGCAACTTAACGCAGCCAGGGACCTGTTGTTGAATGAGGGATCTCGTCGCCAGTATCACATTGATGGTCGGGTGCCATGGGCCAATACTGTCTAAGTAAGAGCCGGGAAAGTGACCCGTCATCTTTGTATGATGGCGAACATAATGGGCTGTCGTGGAGAAGGCGGGGGGAAGGGATGATGAGGTGAGTAATGGGCGATGTTGGTCTGATTTCGGAGTGTTGGAGTCTGCGTCTCCATTTGCTCGTTGGCGGATGATTTTCTCAAGAGCTCAGATGTTGTACGTGTACATGACCATTCACTGCACGTAATGTGCGTGCGTGTGGGCGATAGCGACGTTCACGATACGCAAGAGTCGGGAGTGGAGATGAACGAGGACTGTACTGAGGTTGTCATTTCGACTTGCTGGACCAGGATACCCATGTCTGCATGAATGAATGAGTTTTGGTAACTGATTATGACAATCATGTTAAGTGAGGTATGCTTTTAGCATGGAATCCAGAGGAAGAAGCTCTTCTGAGACTTGACATGACCCTCGCCCTCCCCTCACTGTGCGAGGCTATGCTGGATCGTAGCTGACTAACATGTGCAAATGAGCATGCTGATTGCCATGTCTGATCGCAGGGTTTGGCAACAGCTCGCCAGCCATGAAGGCTATTTGATGATGATGCAAGGGGGTTGGAAGTTGGAAGCCTGGGAGGTCTGGCATTCTGGGCGCACCCCCGATTTTCTCCCCAGTCGAACCAGAATGGCGGCCGCCCCGACTAAAACCTTAGCGAGGCCATGGCCGGCCCGCCAGCAGCGCCCCCCAGGCTGGAGTAGCGCCCCAGAGCTCGAGCTTGTGCAAGCGGCTGGGGACTGAGCACCGGAAAAGTTGACTTAGCACGCGCGCGTGTGTAACATCATCATCATCATCATCATCGTCTGGGTGCCCTAGGCAGTTGGAGGTTGGCAGTTACCTACCGTCCGTACCCAAGCAGCTGCGACACGACACCCAATTCTCCACACCCACGACGCGCACGACGCGCACGACGCCTCGCGAACGCCCACAACCCCGCTCGAGCGGCGCATTATGGCGCCCTCGTCCACGCCCTCGTCTACGGCCACGCCCAAAGACAGCGTGCCACCCCGCAGGCCCACGACAACAGCGACGACTTCCGGCGCGCGCAGGCCGACTGTATCCTCCTCATCCACAACCCCCCGAGCCTCGATTGGCGGTGGTGCATCGAGACCCCCAACTGCCACCAGCACGCGCACCAGCACACTTGGAGGAGCATCGAGCTTGAACAAACCGCCCGCACGGCCTGCCCCTGGAACCGCCGCGAGACGGACGGGCTTGTCATCCAAGACGACGTCAGATGCAGAGCCTGACCTGTCATCGCTGACTTCTGGCGATGAAGTTAGGAAGCCTGCTGTGCGAAGGACGCCCGGTACCACCACCACCACCACCACCACCAGTGCCGCGGCCTCACGAGCCTCACCAGGCAAGACCTTCTCACGCCAATCGCTCGCGCCTTCATTGACAACAGCAACCACGACAGCAGCAGCAGCAGCAGCAACAGCAGCAAAGCGGCCTCTGGCCTCACGGTCCGCTGCGGAGCCTGCCACCTCCGCCAAAACAGCTCATGCCACCACTGCTCGTACCGCGCCGCGTGTCTCCCTGGCTGCATCTTCTAGACCGACCACAGTTTCGCGCCCTGCATCTACAACCACCAAATCGAACCCCAAAACGCCCACAGGCCATGCGAAAAAGCTGTCTTCAGCCAAGTCCATGTCCTCGCCTGAGACGCCCAAGACACCCGAGACGCTCAGGGATAAGGCCGCCTCAGATGCAGAAGTGGAAATGCGCAAGAGCGCCCTCGCGCCTAACAAGGAGGCCCTGGCTAAGCTCAGCGAGGAGCCCCAGAGACCAGACACGGCTCCAAGCGGCCCCGCAGAAGTGGACGTGGAGATGAAGCGCCGGAGCGCTCAGATCATGCAGGAATTCTTCAAGGAGACCAATCTACGCGACAAACTGCAGGAGCAGTGCGACGACCTCAATCGCGAGGTCGATAACTTGCAGGCGGAAAAGTCGCGACTAAAGAAACTGCTCCTAGATGCGCAGACTGCCATGGCAGAAAAGGATCTGGCGCTCGCTGGCGCGCATGATAGTGCGCACAATGCCCTCGTCCACGACATGGAAGCCAAGTTTGCGCATGAGACCAAACAGCTCGAGGTCGAGAAGCAAGCGGCCCAGGAAAAGTCGGCGATTGAAGCTGCGCGCGCTCAAGAGCTTCAGCAAGTGCTCAATGACCTCAATAGCGAATTAGAGCAGCAGGGTCGTGAATGGGATGCTGAGAAGAAGATTCTGACTGAGCAAGCCACTCGGATCGAAGAGCTGACGCAGCAGATCACCAACTTGAAGGAGGAACGGGACACTCTTTCTGTCCAGCTTGTCTCCACCAAAGATACTCTGGAGGCGCTACAGACCAAATTTGACCAGATGGAGAGCACGAGTTCAGACGGCCTACAGACACGCGATGCTGAGATCAAGTCTCTCAAGGAGCTTGTGCAACAACTGCAATCAGAAGTCGCCACTTCCCACAAAGAACACGAAGATGTCCTGCTCGATACACAGCGTGCACTTGAGTCCAAGTCCTCAGAATCTTCTGCCGTCATCGAGAGTCTCCAGTCCCAAATCGAATCGCTGCACCAGCAACATGCAGATGAGCTGCGTGTCAAGGACGAGGCCATTGCACTTCATGTGGAAACGGAGAAGGGCCTGTATGACGACATCAAAACGCTCCAGCAACGCGCGAATCGAGTCACGGCCATTCTTGAAAGCGAGCGTAATGCGCATGCAGAAGAACTAGAGAGACAGCTCGAAGAACTGCAGACATCGTTGAGCGAAGAGTTGCGCGTGAGAGAAGAAGAGGTCTCACAGCACCTCGAGTCCATCGATGAACTTCAAGAGCAAATCAAGGCACTTGAACAAGGGTCCACTGATGGTGCCAGGATAGCAGATGAACTCCACAAGCACATAGAAGAGCTGAAGTTGTCACACGAAGCAGCGCTCAAAGTCAAGACAGACGAGAACGAGGAACTTATGCAGCAGCTCGATGCAATGAATAACCAGCTTAGTACTGATGCCACGGAGGTTGAGCAGCTGAAAGAAGAGGTCGCTGGCCTTCGCACGACCCTAGAAACCTCCGAGAAGACATCACAGCAGATGGAGTCTCAGCACGCCTCCACCCTTGCAAAGGTTCATGCTGATCTCAATGAAGCAGTCAGGAAGGCAGACTCGTACAAACTTGAATTAGATGCAGTGCAAGACAGGCACAGACAGAATCTTCGCGTCCTGAGTGAAGACCACGAAGGCGAAATCGAGTCGCTCAGAGCTGATCTGGAAGGTGATGCAAAAGAGCGTCTCAATAAGCTGCAAGCTGAGCTTGATTTGCTCAAATCAGAGAAGACCGCAATATTGAAACAGCATGAGGAAAGCCTTGCAGAACGAAGCCATGAGCTCGAGGCACTGAAGAACGAGGTTGTAGCCCTGCAAGAGACTTCTAGATCTACTTCACAGCAGGCTCAAGAATTTCGTATCAAGTGCGAGCAGAGTGAGGAAGAAAAGGCTGCGCTCATGGAAGCACATACAAACGCGCAAAAGGAAATCGAAGTCATTCATTCTCAGCTTGAGCCTTTGACTAAGCAGGCTACGGCGACTGAAGACCTACTACTGCGTCTTGAAGTATTGGGTGAAGAGAAGGCCGCGGCAGAGACTGCTCATGCCACGTCGAAGCACATCATCACAGACCTTCAAGCACGCCTTGATTCTCTGTTGCTGGAGAAAAAAGGAGCAGAAGATGCACACCATCAAGCAGTTGAGGCCCTAAAGTGCGAATCAGAGAGCACGCTGAGAGAGCTTCTTAGCAAGTATCAGGCTGCAGTTGAGGATAAGGCCACGACCGACGAGCTCCATGCCCAAGAAATCCGGTCCTTGAAGGAGGCATCTGAGAGTGCAACTAAGCAGGAACTTGGCGAACTGCAGACGAAGTATGAGGCCTTGCTAGAAGAAATGTCTGCAAACAATGCGGAACATGCGCATGCTCCTGAGGAACTCAGAGAAAACTCTGGCAGTACTTCGACATCGTTGTTAAAGGAACTCCAAGGCAAGCACGATCAGTTACAGAAACAGTTCGAGGAAACCTCCCAAGCCTTGACTGATCTACAGACGCAACATCGCAAATTATCCGATGAAAAATCTCAGATGGAGTTGGTACATGGGAAGGAACTGAAACATTTGGAGGAACAACAGGATGCCTGTTCGATTCAGCTCGTAATGCTTGAGAAAAAATATGCCGAATCTCTTGCCGTGCAATCGACTCTGCAGGAGTCTCACGCCAAGGAGCTTGGTACTGTGCAAGCAGACATCGAGCGCAACTATGCCAACTTACTCGACGTCTTGCAAAACGATGCTGCGAGGCTGGAAGTGGAAAAGTCGTCTGCATTCAGTGAGCTTCATAATTTCAAACAAAAGATGGAGACCGAGGTGGCCAAACTTGAAAAAGAAATCGAGTTAAGGGATCAGTCAGGCTCGGCTGAACTCTCCGCGGTGATGGCAAGATACAACACTCTCTGCACTGAAAAGGCCGCTTCTGACAAGGAGCACGAAGACGCCATCGCTCAATTGAAGCAAACGCTTGAGAAGGCCCACGAGCAAGCTCTGGCCCATCTGCGATCTGAGAACATGGCACTGCAACTGAGAATCGCTGCTATGAAACAAGAGCACGGGACTACCATCGAGCTTGTCAAGGAAGAATTCAAGGCTAGAGGTTCTAGCGAGGTCGATTCTTTGCAACAACAGCTAGAGACTATTCAAAAGCAACACTTGGCTCTCGTTGATGAAAAGACTGCTATGGAATTGGCTCACGAGAACGCGATTGCCGAATTGATGCTTGGCATACAAGCTATTACTTCAGATACTGTCCAGCAGATGCAGAAGAAGTACGATGCGCTAGTTGCACAATTGGATGCAACACAGGCCAGCCATGCCACGGAGCTGGAGGCTGCCAGGCAAGAAGTCGCCAATCAACAGCTGCGGTACCAGGATCTCCTCTTACGAAACGACAAAACTGCTGCCATTGCGGATGGTCATGCGCAAGGGGTGGAGCGACTCATGAACATGATCCAAGAGATTGAAGCCGAACGTGCTCAAGCCGTACGGGCCAGCGAGGAAGCCGAAGACCGTATTGAAACAATGAAGGGAGAAGTCGTTCGCAAGCATCTCGCTCGTGTAGAGCCGTTGGAGAAGCAAAACGCCATGCTGTTAGACAAAATTGACCGCCTGGAAGCTATCATCGCTGCAGGCGATAGGGTTGCGCGCGCAGCAGCTATTATGGGCGAGAAACGCGACATCAACACGTTGACCGAAGAGGATGAAGAGGAAGATGGAGAAGACGCCACATCGGGCGCCCAAGGGCCGAGGCCTAATGGTGCGCCAGCGGACGTGATTGCGACTGTGAGTTTGATCCCTTGTGCTGGTCTTGGATCTATGGCAGGTCAAACAGAGAGCTAATACGCCGCTAGCAGATGGCTGCTATGCAAGAGACACTGAATCAGCTAAGTGAGCTGAATAATGATACAGTCGCGGAGAGTTTGAGAACTGCCCAGAGGCTTACTGAGCAGCACTAGATGTGCGTACTTCAGTGGCTGTATAATGTGTTATGGGGATCGTGGAGTCAGAAGCGTGGATAATTGCCTTGTTAGAGGAGGGTGCTTTGACCGTACATGTTGCTTTTATATTTTTTTTTGTGCTCTACCGGTAGCCTGAGTTTGCTGCGCATTCTAGCACTATACCCCACCCACCGGCCTCGTTCAAGGACGTCGGATGCAAATTATATTCATTCTCTTCTATTCGATCAACGTGCCCATTGTCTGCTGAAAGGTTTCCCGTGATCGCAGCATGTACCGTATATGCTGTCGGTCTGCGATTGGCATCGTGGGGCGCACGTGGGAGCTAACTTTTGTCCCCAAATGACGTGCTCAGCACAACGGATGTCGAATCCGTGCCGAGTCTGGGTATACGCTGGGCCACAAATAATTTGCACAGCTCCCATGCAGCAGTTGGGAACTCGCTGATGACATACCAACATTATGCGCGCTGTATGTATGCTCGGTCTCCTTATGGTGGGCTTCAAGCTTGGCATAATGAAAGTCGCAAAGTCTGCGATGAGGTTGCTACCCATTCGAAGCCTAAAACCATGGCTTTTACCTAAAGTTCTAGTACCGACCATCGTGCCTAAATTGATGATTTTGGGGACTGAAGTGGTATGGCCAAGATGCTCGTAAGCTTCATTGGCAACGACTCAATGCTCAATCCTTGGACAAGATGGTGACATCGTCTTTCATGCCTCTACGGCCTCGAAAACCACCCTACTTTCGTGTAGAAACAAGGATCCAAGCTTTTCAAAATGGTCCAGTAATTCGCCGAAAGGCACTGGACGAGACTTTGCCATGAACGTAATGTCCTTGGCGGATTAAGCCCAGACAAAACATCTCAAATTGTCTATTCGTTTTCGGTCCTAAACAATCAGACGCCAAAAGGCTGCGGCACTGATATAAGTAGCTATGGTATTTGGTGATTATCTCGTAGGAACCACTGCATCGCTTTGCAAATAACGCGTTGCTTACCCAGCAAACGCAACGTCATTGTTCCGCGTGCAAGCGATATGATGTCGGACGTCAAGGACACTTACCAGGAGGATGACGCGGAACATGAGCCTCTGCCTACGCGTGACTGGAGCGTTGCAGAAGAGAAGAAGGCCAAAAGAAAGTGAGTTGTGTATATCCTCTGCTATGGTCTCACTAAGTTCCATGTGCTCAGACTAGACCTGATTATTATGCCTCTTCTCACGCTTGGTTTCTTTTGCTTGCAGCTCGATCGTGGCAACATAGCCAATGCAATTACAGATAACTTCATGGAAGACATCAATATCACGCAAGATCAGTTCAATGTAGGACAACAGATGCTGTCTCTCGGCATTGTCTTGTTCGAGATCCCAGCCAACATGGCTCTATATCGCGTTGGACCTGGCCTTTGGCTCACATTACAGCTCTTTCTCTTTGGCACTGTTAGTACCTTTCAGGCATTCCAGACCAACTATGGATCCTTCATTGCAACGAGGTTTCTGCTGGGGTTGACAGAATCGGGTTTCATTCCTGGTGGGCTCTGGACAATGTCCACGTGGTACACACGCTCGGAAACCGCAAAGCGGGTGATGATTTTCTACTTCGGCAATCAATTCGGTCAGGCCTCTGCAAAGCTACTTGCCTATGGTATTTTGCATATGTAAGCAATACCAAAAAGCCCATTAGAAAGTTCAAACTGATGAATCTCAGGCGTGGTGTCGGGGGCAAATCCGGCTGGTTCTGGCTCTTCACGCTCATGGGCGGTTTCACAATACTCAGTGGCGTTGTTCTAGGATTCTTCCTGCCCGATTCCTTCAAGAAGCCGTGCCCGACATTTCTCCCCAAGTGGCAAATGTTCACCGATAGAGAGATCTATATCCTCCGCAGTCGCGTGCACATCGACGAGCCAGCTAAAAGCCGGAAGAAGAAGAGCATTGGCCTCGGTGCTTTTAAAAAGGCGGCAAGTCTACCGCAGACAACTCTAATGGATTGATTTAACTCGAAATTAGTTTTCAAACTGGCGCATGTGGTGCCATTTCGCCATTACGTTGTGCAACAACGGTCCACAGCGGGCTTTTGATACCTATGCTCCTTCTATTGTTAGATCTTTTGGGTTTGGACAGCTCAGGTCTAACGCTATGGCCGCCGTTGGTCTTTTCATACAGATCCCCGTCTCTTTTACATTTAGCTGGTTCTCAGATCGCTTGTGAGCATTTTAACTTCCATTTCCCTATTGCCTGCTCTCGCTAACTAGATCATACATGTAGCGGTCGACGAGGTGAAACTGTCATGCTCGGTTTCACTTGCCATTTGATTGGGTACATTTTCAACCGTATCTTCGCTGAGCTAGACAGTCGCGGCGTACGGTACTTTGGTGTAGTGTGGACGCAGACATTTGGCACCTTCTCGCATCCCCTAAACATTACCTGGATGTCTCTAACTTGCACGGACTCTGAGGAGCGTGCTCTTGCAATGGCTTTGTCAGTCGGGCAGCAGGGGTTTAGAACAAGACGCTCTTACTAACTTGTTAATAGAGTAATCATGGGCGCAAACATCGCTGGCATTTACGGCGCGCAGATCTTCCGTGAAGACGACAGACCTCAATATCGTCGGGGTTTTTCAGTCGCGTGCGCTATACTTGCTTTTGGTCTAGTCCTAGCCTTAGTACGCTATATTGATAGTAAGATTTGTAGGCTAGGAAAGAAGGCTTGTGCAAAGGATCTAATTGAGTAACGTACCTCACAGGTAAGTGTTTCACGCTAAGATTTGCTTAGAAGAAGGTGTTAAGCTTAGTCTAGGACATATATATATAATTTTATATAACTAGAAGGAAGAATTATAAAGATACTTAGTATAGAACCTAAAGAAAGGGTGTATCTATAAAAGTAGTAGCCTAATAATTTTACTGATATTATTTAGACAAAAACTAAATTATAAACTATAGCTTTATATAGATTATAGATATTTAAATTATATTACCTATAAAAACTAATACCCTATACTATTAATATCTAAGCTTATAGATTAACTTTAAGAAGTAAGATATTAGGATATAGTATCTATTCCTACTACGCTAAATAACAAAAAAGGTGCGGATAATCTATAAATAGATTATTTATAAATAGAATAGTATATATAGGCGCCTAACCTATAGTCCTTCTATACACGTATATATTATAGCCTACTATACGATAGTTTATAAAATCTAATATATATAAAGAAAATCTATACAATTAGAATTATATAGAATTTATATAGATAATAGCCCTTAAGATAAACTATAGACTATATATATATATAGTTACAGTATTTAGGTTAATAAATATATTAGTAACCTTTTAGTTAGTTATTAATAAGGCTTGTGTAATAGCTAGGCGCTATGCCCACGTAATAAATACTAAGTTATCTCCCTGCCTATACTAATTTAGCTATAGTCCAAAAGGTACGCATAAGAATACTTAAGCTAAGTAAATCTCGCATAGTATAATATATATATATCTTAGCTAAGCATAGCCTAAGATAATAGTGCTAGACCCTAGTGCTAACCTATAAACCTTGTTTAAGTCTAGCCTAGGCATCTAGTAAGCGCTAGCTATTATTAGCCTAGCCTTGTTATAGCTTAATATACACACCTATAGAAATTGAAATTACTAAGCTTAGGAATAATTTAGGAGATAGATAATTAGATTATATCTACTATAATAGGACTTATATAAATAGAGCTTTAGTGTAAAGGGCTTAGGCTTATGCCTAAGCCTAGGTCTAACACAAGACGGACCAAGTCTAACACTACTACTAAGCGAACACACTAGATACCTATAAAAAGGCGTAGAGGGCTTACCTCTCCTTTAAGATACTAAATACTATTATTAACGCTTATTATATTCTCCCTTAAGGCTAGTCTATAATATTTTAGTATCTTCTTCTAAATATACTATAATAGTAATAAGAGATAGACGCGCTAGATATTTAGAATAACTAGGTGCAACCTAATATAGTAGAAAGGCTAATATAATAGGTCTATAGATTAATAGAATAATAGGCTTAAGACTCTGCTATAATAGCTATACTACGTTAATAGAACAAGGAAATACGCAATTAGATTCTATCCTAACCCTCCTCTAAGCCCGCTAGGTTTAATAACGTGCTACCTCCTCCCTCTCCTACCTTACGCTATAAACCTTTCCTAGTTAGCTTACTATATAATAGCACTAAGGCAAACTTCTCCTCCTAGTAAATAACTATAGAGTTTAAACTGCGTGCAGACAAGGTCTTTATTAGGGATAAGGAGGCAAGGTTTATATATATTTAGTCCTAGTTATCGCCTATAGTCTAGCGCGCTATAGCACTATACTTTAAGGATAGTGCACGTAAGCGTTAGGATATAAGTAGGTTTCTTAACTACCTAGCGTTCTATTATAGTAACTATTATAGGTAGGAGCGCGCCTAAGTTACATTAGAACACTTATATTAGGGCTAAAATTAGCCTTTTATAGAATTCTTTATAAATTTTGTGTAGCTTCTTATATAGTTAGGAGGTTTATACTAGGATAATAAATAGAAGCTTTTATAACTTTAGCAATCTCTTAATAGTTATATACGCTTAGTTTCCCTTAATAGGGGAGTCTCTAGGATAAACTATAACGTAGCTATAGAGGAATATAAGATAATTATAGTAGATATTAAAATAGCCTCTCTAGAACTAGGTTTTCTTTAGGCTAGTAAGTCTAAGGAACCCTAGTAGAAGTCTAACTTAGACTAGGATAGTAACACAAATATAGTAGAAGTGGTAGCCTTATTAAGTGCACCTACTAAACTACTAACATTATATCCTAACTAGATCCTACAGGACCTATTTAATACACAGAAACTAGTAAAGGTCTGCACCTAGTGTAGATAGGGTAGTTATTTTATGCAAGCATGCCCTAATACCCTATTACTATAACTAGTAGGTGTTAAGACAGTTATAGCATTAGTAAGCGGCCCTAATTTAGGAAACTAGCTACCCCTAACTTTAGGCTAAGTTAGGGGTATAAGGAGGATACTATAATAAAGGAATTATTAATAGTAGAGGCTATTAAGTATCCCCTAAATATTAAGGCTAGGTTAAATAATCCTCCTTTCTTTATTCCCCTCCTCCTAGGTAGAGTAGAGAACGTGCAAGCAATAGTTAATTTAGGGTGCTAGTGTTTTAGTATAGTTAAGGAAAAGTTAGCAAGATAGATTAGTAGGAACTTTATTAATATTCCCCCGCGACCCTTACAACATACCTAGGGAATTACTAAGGGTACAAGAATTTTATAGTTAGTAGTATTAGACTATAATTTAGATAGTTAGCAGTCTTAGCTTTTAGCTTATATAGTACCTTATCTTTCCTATTAACTAATACTAGGCAGACTATAGCTTTGTAGAGAGGGCGTTGTTATAGACATTCTACAAGGCAAATTAATAATTAGGAAGGCGGGAAATATAGTAGTATAAGAGAGTGGGAGACGCCTATATCCTACCTATATCTCTATTATCTTAGGTTTAGTTATAGCAGGGTTGTTAAACTAAGAACCCTAATAGGAAGATATATAGGTACAAATTTTTATAATAAATATACTAGATATATTATAAGTAATATATAACTTACGCCTAATAAAATATCTAGGAAGTGTTAATAAGGGAGGTCCTATTAATATATATACTATCTATATTACTAGTAACATAGTTCCCTACAAACCTAAGTATAAGACTAGAAAGACAAAGTTACTACTAGAACTATAAGAGTTTAAGGACCTGTTTAACAAAGAGTTAGCAAGTAGTTTACTACCTTATTAAGGTAGTATAGACTACTATATTTAGTTAATAACTCTCCTAGATAGAACCTAGCCTAACCCCCTATAGGGTCCCCTATACCCTATATCGCGTAATTAATTACTAGAACTAAGAACACAACTTACTAGATTAATAGACAAGGGCTAGATCTAAGCAAGCTCTTCTATAGCTAGAGCTCTAGTGTTACTAGTAAAGAAGCTATTAGGTAGTTAGCGTCTGTGTGTAGACTACTAGATACTTAATAGTATAATAACCTTAGACTAATACCTACTACCACTTATTAAGGAAACTTTACACACACTATCTAGCGCAAATTAGTTTATAAAAGTAGATATTTGCGCTACCTTTTATAAAGTTAGAATAGTAAAAGGTTATAAGTCCTTAACTACTTTCTATACCTAGTTTAGGTTATATAAATAGTTAGTATATCTATTTAGTCTTAGTAGTGTACTATCTACTTTCTAATAATATATTAATACTACGCTTGCAGAGTTACTAGGATTATATATAATAGCCTACCTTAACAATATCTTAATTTATTTAGGAGGAGACTAGTTTAACTATATAGAAAAAGTAAAGCGTGTACTTACGCTATTAAAAGAAGTAGGACTACACCTAGACTTAGAGAAATATACTTTTAGTATTAAGGAGGTACACTACCTAGGCTATATTATTAAGGCGGGCAAATTACTTAGACCTAACCCTAAAAAGCTTAGGGCAGTATAGGAATAGGAATCCCCTAGGAATATAAAAGAGGTAAGAAGTTTTCTAGGTTTTACTAACTTCTACTATAATTTTATTACAAAGTTTTCTAAAGTAGTAGCACCTTTAAACTAACTAACTAGAAAGAACACCCTATTCTAATAGGGAGAGGAGAAATAAAGTATATTTAATGCGCTAAAAAAGGTGTTTATATTAGGACTAGTATTAATATAATAGGACCTAGCTAGAGAAATATTATTAAAAGCAGACTATTTAGGATGTGCTCTTAGGGGTTGCTTATTGTAAAAAGTTAGGGGCGTCTAGCGCCTAGTTGCTTACTACTCTATAGCACTAATACTAGAGAGACAAAACTACACTATATATAATAAGGAATTGCTTGCTATTATAGAGTGTCTTAAAAGTTAGTTAGCAGAGTTATAGAGCATTTACAAGCTATTTATAATATTTATAGACTATAAAAACTTAGAGTACTTTACTAGCCTTTAAAGCTTAAGCAAGTAATAGTGCTACTAGGTAGAGGAACTTTTAAAATATTAGTATATCCTATAGTATAGGCCTAGCTATCTTGCAGGACAACCTAATACCTTAAGTAGATAACTACAAGATTTAAACTCCTCTAAAGCAACACTATAGTTAGTAATGCGCCCTAAATTAATTTAGGTTACAGTGTTAGAAGTAGAGGAGGCGTCTAAGTTACTAAAGGGCGCTAGCCTCTTTGCTAACCTATATATATAGACACTATAGGACAAAGCAGTACTAGAAGATAAGATATACTAAGTACGTCTTAATGCGGTTTAGAAAGGCGCTAGGTCTTTCCTAGTTTTAGCTAATATAAAGTAATAGATTAGGGACTATGCAATTAGCGCACACGGCACTTTGCTCTAGAGGGGTGTTATTTAGTTGCTAATATAGGAACCCCTTATAACTACTATTATATAGCAAGCATATAAATTAGGTTTAGTAGGATATCTAGAAAAGAATATAATATTTTAAATACTACGCCGCGACTATTATTAGGATAGAATATTAGGAGACGTTGCGCAGTATATTTAAAACTACTATTATTATAGTGCTTATATCTTCTAGAAGCGCTAATAGGGTCTGTTATAACCTATACTAGTTACGTTATAATACTAGTCCTAAATATCTATAGATTTTATAGTTAACCTACCTGCAAAAGATAATAGTAA